ATTCTAGAGTTCTTCAAAAATGCCACATTCTGCTCTTCTTAAATGTGGGGTAAATTTTAAGTAAATATGCTTGGTTTTTCACTCCTTTGGATTGCCCTTTTGCTTTTGTCCAGTTGTTTTAAAATAAGATTTAGGAGAGGAGAAGGATAGACTGCAATTTTATGTATTTATCTCTGCTTTTCTGAACTGTGCATCAAAAAAAAACCCCTTTATTTGAATTCCTAGAACAAGTTTAACGTCTGGAAGAGAGTTGGAGAGTGATTATAATCAAATGTGCTGGGATAGAAGAGGAGAATTAGAGCACAAAGTTGGGAGGGGAATTTCAGCAGAGACTTTAGAATTGGGAGGAGCAATGTGAAAAGGCATCTCTTGAATCATACATTCCAGTCAATTTTCAGATGCTCACAAGATGACTTCCTACATATCCTGCCCCTTCCTACATATCAGCTCAAGATATTTGAAATGCACACTCCGAGGTGCCCAGAAGAAGGGCCTATAACAGGCTGTGTCTGTCTTTTAGAGGATAAAAATATGCTAGTGATTTCTCCACTCCTGCTTTTCAGTACATTTGTTCAGTGTTGAATTGTATAGTAGAGGGCTAGATCTTTCTAGTCCTGCTGATCATTTTTTCCAGGACCCATAAAGGACTTCATGCTGAAATAAATCACTATCCATGTGAACGTTTCATACACACTGAATGTGAGAGCTAGAGAAAGAAATGTTAAATGCAGTAAGGCTCAGTTTTAGCAGTTGTGGATTCAGTCTCTTAGTTGTAGCCATGCAAATGTTTGCATAGTCCCCTTTATGTTTATACATGTTGTTATTAACAATAGCTTACATACATGACAAAGAGACCCACAGTGACAAGACCAGAGCTGAGCTGTTCCTTCTGCCAGTCTGCAGTGAAGACACACACACATACACACACACACACACACACACAGTCATGTTGATGAGCTGTCCACATAGCTTTGTCCAAGAGCCACTTGGGTCAATACACAGATGTCCAGGGGCACAGTCAAAACAACAGACAAGGAGAACTTGAGGATTAGAATCCATTACATGGCAAGAAAATAATTGAGCTTGTAGGAAGCTCAATATGTGGTTTATTTGCCTGAACTAGTAAAAAGTGGGCATAATAGCCACAGAAGTAAAACTAAAGTGTCCCAGCAGATTCGTATCTTCAAATGCAAATCACTTTGTTTGTAGCCTGATTTAAGCTAGGGAAAACAGAGGCAAAAGGTGGGTGCAAAAACTGTGGATAAGATACTTTGCTCACTGCTGTTCCTTGGAAATAAATCATCATCCAATCTTTTGATGGCAACTTATGCTGGAAGACAGCTATCTGCTTGTGTCAGATTTCATTGTCTCATTCATTCACACTAAGGCAAGAAAAAAATATCAAAGAGCTGGGTGCCTTCACAGCATAAGAAGATGGCAGGTATGAAGGAGAACACTAAAAGGATAAGGATGGCAGTCCTGTGTTTTGTTCCTATTAATGCGGTAAAATGGCTTCCAGCATTGAGGGAAGCAATGAAAAATGAGTTCTTGGTTGGCTTTGTATCCATTTTGTTATGAAGCTGTGACAGAGTCAGTGACAGAAGCTGTGTGAATACTCATAAATCCTTCAGGAAATCTTGTGGTTTTTATTTTTATTTTTTTGCCTTTTAAACAAGGAGTCTGCAATTTTGCTCCGTGCTCTATGAAATTGTTTTCACAGAGCAGAATCAACAGATTGTTAAATACATTGATTAAACTGAAATAACCTTGTGGCTGAATTGTGCTGCAATTGATGCATTAGTTTCTTTTAATATACCACAGGGACCTTGCTTTTTGTAACAGTGCAGTGCCAAACAGATAATGGCAGTGAATTTAAAATGCAGATCTGCCTGAAATATATGTTAGAGGTGGGGAGAGACTTCAAAGTCCAAAGGGACAGGCAAATGAAGAAAGGTTAATCTTTTGCCCCATTAGTGTGGGCTTAACTAATTTGGATTTTCCATATGTGATGCTTTAACTCTTTGTATTTCCTGAATTTTAATTTATACAAAGATATGTACATTAAAAGAAAAATGTACATTTAAATGCATATACATGGAACATTTTAAACAAATCTACTTTATCTTTGGGGAAAAGGCAGCCTTTTTCTGTAGTGGTCCCTGCTCTATGGAACATCCTCCCTTTGGAGATCCCTGTTAGCCTTTGCAAGGGCCTAAAAACCAGACTTTGTTCCTGAGCCTGGGGCACTGGATGTGCCAAGAACCCCATTTCCTGGCTATATTGCTTCTGTATTTCTTGATCAAATATCCTTCTCTTGTATATGTTGAATTGAATGTTTTTAATGTTACTTACTGGTTTTCCAGTTTTTATTGTTTTTAGATGTTTAAGCGCAATATATTTTCTGAATTGTAAGCCTCCCAGAATCATTGACTGAGATGGGTGATCACAGAAATTGAATGAATGAATGGATGGATGGATGAATAAATAAAAATGCATTCAAAAATGTATATATCAGCAAGCAAAGGTGGGGGTGGAAAAAACATGCAGAAGTGTCCCTTCTCTTAAAATGGATTGGCAATATCCTACTTTAATATAGATGTGATAGAGTTGGTTTTAAAAAAACACTGTTTGTCTTAGCATATCTAATTCTGATAGATGTGACATTTTTATTCTGTTTGTTAAATAGGATTCAGGAAGATATCCAATTAAATATGGAATAAAATATAAAACATGGCTCTCCCTCTGGAATTTTGCATGAGACAATGCTTGGGCCCTCTTTTCTGTTTTTAAAATACATAGCTTGAGAGATCTATTTGATATTAAGGTCAAATAGGAGTTCAGAGTTAAACACAGAAAGGTGCTCACATCCCACTTGTCTGCAACTCCTTAATATGGCTGTGTTTTTTCTTGTGATAGTCTCAGGAAAAGGCATGTTTAATTTCAGGAATTGCAAAGCGGTCCTTGTGTGAGCCTCTTTGTGCTTAGAAGCATTTTTAAGCAATGCCTAGCCCTCCTAGATAACCTGTGCCATTGCTTTGTAGCATCTTGTGTCATGGTAGAGTCAAATTAGAATAGTGGCTTTGGGTAATACATGTACAAGTAGTCCTTAACTTAGAACCATTCTTTTAGTGATCATTCGAAGTTACAATGGCACTGAAAAAAGTGACATAACTGTTTTTCAGACTTACAACCATTGCGGCATGCCCATGATCATGTGATCAGAATTTGGGCGCTAGGCAGCTGGCATGTATTTATGACAGTTGCACTGTCCTGGGGTCATGTGATCACCATTTGTAATCAGCCGGTTTCCGACAAAGTCAATTGGGAAAGCTGGATTCACTTAACAACTGGCAAAAAGATTGTAAAATGGGACAAAAGTCACCTAACCAACTGCCTTGCTTAGCAGCGGAAAGTTTGGGGTTAATTATAAGTCAAGGACTAACATTTATATCGGGAACCTCTTCTGGGAGTTTAGAATGATGTGCTGGTTCTTTCTCCCTATTCCAATTTGTCCTTGCAGCAACTCTTAAAAGGTAAGCTAGCCTGAGGATAACTGACCCAACATTACCCAGAGGGTATATCCTGAACTAGAATATCCTAGTACCTCATTCAGCACTGATGCAAAGATACTATTACAGTGTCCTCGATTGACTAATTTAAAAACTTACTAGAGTTGTGGACTTTAAAACATGGGATAGGAACAAAATTGGATAAAATATATTTTGAATCCTGCTTTGAAGTCTCATTAAGTAGATATTTTTTTTAGCATACAGTTTGGGTTAAAAAAAATTCATACATTTGTACAAATCTCCATTTTTTGTAGATTGGGGGAATATGATAATTAATGAAAACAATCTCATATTTTTAAAGAATATTTCTTCCAGTGCTCTGGATATAATCCCAATAAGAAAATGGCATAGTACACAGAGAAACCAAAAATCCAGAATTATAAAACAGAATTTTTCTTTTTTGACAAAATAGACTTTTTTTGCCTGTTGGCTAAAGTTTAGTCAAAGTCGATCATAGTTGACCAAGTGTTCATTGAATTGGAGTGCTTAATTATATACTACAATTTTTCCCCCATTTCTACTCCTAACCTCTCAATCTCACATCCCACAATTTAAATATAAAATAATTACTTTGTTTTAAATTAGGAGTCCTTTTCTGAGCTTTAGAATGCATGCTGGAAAAAAGGTGTAGTACATAAAAAAGCAGGGTAGAAGCTCAAAATTTGTAAGAATGAAATAACGTGTTTCCTTGCGTCTTTACTTTGAGGTTAGTAATCTTGATTAAAGATATTTCCCTGGATATTGGAGAGAATCTGAATTTAAAATGGAAAGTAAAAATATAGGACCAAATTTAAACGTTTGTATTGTGCAGTCTGGCTCTGAAATTAATAGGGTACAACAATAGGGTGTATAATAAGAAATTAAAAGAGCCTATAACTCTTTTCTGAAATTATATACAAAATTATATTTTTTAATGTTAGAGAATTCTGGATTTTTAACATTCATTTATATCATTAATTCAGTTTCTGTTGTGGGGAAGCAAACACTTGACATTACCAAACTGTAGGAGTTTTGCTAGATGTAGCACATATATTTTTGATATCTAATTATAAGGATTTAATTGGTTTTCTGGGTTTTTTTATGGACACTGTGCTATTAAGGAATGATTTCTGCATCTGTGCCTTTTCTGCCCTTGTATGAAATTGTACAACTTCAGAGCCTTCCCCATAATTTCTTGCATAGTTTTCAGGAGTTTTTCAGTTTTTAAGAAGAAATGAACACCTAACATGCATTTTAAATGCAAGCATAAATAAACGCCTGGATTCCTGGCAGGTTTGACCAAATAGCAGTTTATGTAGCTTTCAGTTTGTCTTTTTCTCTTTTCCCTAGTGTTGTTTTGAGCTGTTGCAAGATGAGAATAATTTTCCTTTGTTTTGAGTTGTTGCTGGAACATCTCTAGCTATGCCTGTATTTGCATCTGTTTTTTTCCAGAACAAAGTCGCCGTGATGATTTGGAGAGCTTGGGCTATGTACTGATGTACTTCAATCTTGGCTCGTTGCCTTGGCAAGGCCTAAAAGCTGCCACAAAACGACAGAAATACGAGCGCATCAGTGAAAAGAAGATGTCAACACCCATTGAAGTGCTCTGCAAAGGCTATCCTTGTAAGATTTCCCTGTACTTATTTTCAAGTTCTAAGTTCTTCTTAGTGGTATAGGCATAAGCACGCCCAATTTTATAATCCTAATCTAGTTTTTTGTCGCCCATCTTATCAACTTAAGTGGAAGGTCTTTATTCTGTTTGCAAAATATTGGACAGCACTACAGGTTTTCCTGTGAATCTTATCTTTAGTAGCCATTTAATAGCAGTTTAATTCAGAAATAATTATGGAGGTACCCTTGAGTGAAGAAAGGTTGCATTGAGTCTCAGATTTTTGGAGTAAAAACCATAGAGATTAATAGCTGTTAGAAAGCGGTATGCAGGTTATATGTAATTTGTATGAATCTAGAAGGGAAAGCTGCACATTTAGATGGCTCCATAAGTGAACTGGAGGAAAAAGATGAAAATAGTACCAAGGATAAGGGTGAATAAATAATATGTTTACTTGAGCGGGGGGAGTGCAGAATTAGGTTCAGTTTTGGAAAAGATCCAGAGAACCAGGGCCAAAATAGCTAGATCCTCTTCTAGTGACGAGGCAAAGGGGAACTCCAGAGAGGATTTTAATAGCTAGAATAGATTAATCCTGTCTCCAACATATCCAGCTTAATTTTAATTTTAAAAGAATCAAAAAAGATGAATTTTCATCTTTTGGGCCTTTAGCCTGGTATCTGCAAACCTCAATGTGCCATTGGGTAGCTGCTGCCTTGATGTTTGCTTGCCATTTTTTCTATTTTTGTAACTAAAAAAAGTTAAATGGGAAGATATCTTGCTAGAAAGCTGGCACAATTGAGAACTGCAAATATTTCCAAGAATATTTCAGTAGTCTGTGTATATGCCAGAGGTTTTTCTAAAACCCCTGATATATGTAAACTGATATATACCAGATTTTTTTTCTAAACAGAAAAAAATGTAGGGATTTGTAGCTCAGTTTGGGATCTACCTGTTTATGAAAAAAGGCAAATGATTTGGAGATGGTTAAAAAGGGTAATTGAGAGCAAGTCTCCCTGGTTTGTCTTTTAATATGAGCAGTGGTGGCGCAGTGGTTAGAATGCAATATTGTGCCGACCGCCAGCAGTTTGATTCTCAACCGCTCAAGGTTGACTCAGCCATCCATCATTCCGAGGTCAGTAAAATGAGGACCCAGATTGTTGGGGGCAATATGCAGACTTTGTAAACCACTTAGAGGGGGCTGTAAAGCACTATGAAGCACTGTATATAAATCTAAATGCTATTGCTAAGGGCTATTAACGGTTATTGTGTGATTGGCCACATCCATCATGGCAGTCATTTTGAGGAACGTTCATAGTGGGCTTTCAGAATTCCAAATTTTTCCCCTGTCTCCAAATGTTTGGAGGCTCCTGTTTTATCTAGATGACTAGCATGACCCACTTCACTTCTCAAGATTAATGTGTGCATTGCAGACAGAAGGCTTTCGCTACTCTCTCAACTGGACTAGTGCTATTGGGAGCTATAACATGAAACTATATATATAGGTGGGGTGGGGGTGGTGGAATAACAGCGCCAGAGAGGAGTAAAATTGTTCCTGCTAATTATTCCTTGTTGCCGTCTCTCATTTCTCCCCCAGCTGAGTTCTCTACATACCTCAACTTTTGCCGTTCACTGCGGTTTGATGACAAACCAGATTACTCTTATCTGAGGCAGCTGTTCCGCAATCTCTTCCACCGCCAGGGTTTCTCCTATGACTATGTATTTGACTGGAATATGCTCAAATTTGTGAGTAACCCTAATTTTTAAAGGAGGCTAGCTGGTATAGTAGAATTATTTGCATACCAGAGAGCTGCAGATAGATGGGGGGAGGGACTAAAGGCTAAGGATGCCTATGAAGCCTTTCTCTCTTTAATGCGGGATTAGGTTTTTGCATCCCTGTAGTGCAGTGGTTCTCAACCTGTGGGTCGGGACCCCATTTGGGGTCGATCTACCATTTCACGGGGGTCGCCAAGCAAGGCTATCCGCCATTTTTTTGTCCGCCTTTTTTTCCCCCTTTTCCGGCGGGTGCCTTACCTCCCTTGGGCTGGGCCAGCTGGTGGTCGGCTTGCTCCGTCTCTGCCACTTGCCAGCTACGCCTCGGCCGGCGCAGGGGGCGGAACCACGCATGCGCAGCGCTCCCGGGCAGGGAAAGTCCTCGACCTACGACCGGTTGGGTAGTCCTCGACTTACGACCGGTTTAGTCCTCGACGTACGACCGGTTTAGTCCTCGACTTACGACCGGTTGGGGTCGCGGCATTAAAAAGGTTGAGAATAACTGCTGTAGTGCAAATTTGCCACTATTTTCAACCTGGTTCCCTCCAATGTGTTGGACTTTGGTTCCTGTAATATACAACTAGCAGGAGGTAGTTGGTGGTTGGGATGAAATCCTGTATTTATGGGGTTCTAAATTGAGAAGATTTCTTTGTGAAATAGGTTTTTCAATGTGCTGCTTATAGTGGCTTTTATGGTGCTTGCCTAAAAAGTAGCATCAAGACCTCAGTGGATAAGAACTCTAAAGGCAGCCCAAGACAGATCCAGGTCCTGTATATTTTCTTATTGACCCATAGCCACAAGCCCAGTGGCAAGACAGAAAAGTGGGAAGTGCCCACATTTTGCTTCTTTCTAAGATAGTTACTACAGTAAAACAAGCTTAATTTTCTATATTTTAAGATGTTAAGTTCCAAAGGTGCATCTGTTCTCCAAGTGCCTTTATGTTTTACCAACACGATAATGGATTCTGATATTTTAGTGAATCTTCAGTTGGAATATTGCTTGCCCAGATTTCCTTTCCCTTAGGACAGCAGAACTGAAAGGATAAATACTGATGTGCATCAAAAGGTGAATGTGTAAACAAAGAGCTTGATGGCTACGGGCTTACACACACATACTTCTTGTCCCACTCAGAAGTGGAGGAACCTGGGAAAGCTCTGCAAAATAGACTCTGATTCAGTAGGCAGAAATCAGGGAGTTTTGCTTCTCAGATTTTCTCAGCAGCTGTTGCAGTTGTTCATGCATGTGCATAAGGTGATTTATACTTCTCAGCAGTTATTAAAGCCTTGTGGGGCATTAAATATTTCAGGGAGCAGCCCGGAATCCTGAGGATATGGACCGGGAGAGGCGAGAACATGAGCGAGAGGAAAGGATGGGGCAGCTCCGGGGTTCTGCCACACGGGCACTGCCTCCTGGCCCTCCTGCTGGGGCCACTGCTAACCGCCTCCGCAATGTCGCTGAACCCATGGCCTCCACACCCACTTCCCGCATCCAGCAGTCTGGTGAGTGGACAGAAAATCGCACGCAAGCCTTTAGTGGTAGCAGAAGTGTAGCCCGCCCTGTGGATCTATTGCCCACTTCCGTACTTTCTTTTCATCTAAAATCCTGACTGCTCGACCCTATCTTCTGTTTTGGAAAATTTCTCACTCTGAAAAATAAGGCTAAAAAAAAATTAAAGGAATCTCTTATTCAAGCTAATAAAGAGTAAATCTATTTCAGTTTCAAAGCTTCAATAGATTAATCCTAATTATGGAACCTATTGAGGAACAAGTCCATTTTCTTTCCAGTATTGGAAGTAGGAGCTCTCTTTCCTTTCAGAGTACAAATCCAACATATCCACTATCCCAGGGCCCATAGAACATTAGCCTTAGTATGTCATATGTTCCCACCCTTTAACTTTTTCTTCCTTTTTCTTTTCCTTCTTTCTTCTCTCACCTTTGTTTTCTTTATATAACTGCAAAATTTTAGTGTTATAAATCATAGCAATTACTCCCTTCTTGCCAGGAAACACATCTCCCAGGGCAATTTCACGGGTAGACAGGGAACGCAAGGTCAGCATGAGGTTACACCGAGGAGCCCCCGCCAACATCTCCTCGTCTGACCTCACAGGACGGCAAGAAGTCTCACGGATTTCAGCGTCACAGGTGAGTTTCTTTTGATGATCCTGTTTCACTGGGGGGGGGGAGGAAATTCTGCACTGTCTTTTCTGATAAAAATGATCAGATCAGGGCACAATAAGACCAGCAATAAAAGCTTAAGTAGATCAGGCACTGAACTGATCAGGCAAAGAGAGGATAAATATTGTTGATATGTGGTACCTCAACTTCCTTTGATTCTGAGAACGATCTAAAAGTAGTCCTTGGTTTATAGCCACTTGTTCAGTGACCCATTGAATTTACAATGTAGTTACAATGGGGCCTTCAATTTCTGGACATCACAGCAGACCTGCTACACTCTGTGCTTCCCCCACCACTCACACATACTCTCCCACCTAGTAGCAGCCATTTCCCTATGTGCCAGCAGGCTTGCAAGTCACCTGAGACTTGCAACTTCCTGCCAGATTCCCTGCTGACTTTGATTGTTGGTAGCTGGCAGGAACTTGCAAGGAGATGCTTGCTCAATAGGAACTTTAGAGATTTCTGTAACGAAGCAATCCAGGAAGTATAAGCCTTCACAGACCATACGAACACTGTGGATTCAAAAATCAAGTAATACCAATACTTGGTAAGATACCAAGGACAACAGGCTGGCATTCCTAGACTGAGGTTCTGACTGGGACCATTGGCAACCTAGAAATTGAGATCTACAGGAAACCAATACACAGAGACCAATACCTGCTGTTTGACTCCCACCATCCACTTCAACACAAACTAGGAGTCATCATAGGACAGACAAAATCCCCACCCCCAGGGTTGCCCAAAAGAAGAAAAACAGGCACCTGGCAATTCTTAAGCCTGCCTGTGTCCAGATTGGGCTTTTATTGAGTCAACATCTGGATCCAACAAAAGAATGGCAGACAAAGCTGAGACTCAAAGTCAACAGAAGAACTTGGTCATTCCTTACACCGCTGGTGAATAGGAGAAGCTAAAACAGATATTTGGAAAACACCACATACCTGTGTTCTTCAAACCCCCCAACACACTAAGAGAGAGGCTTGTCCACCCTAAAGAGCGGATACCAAAAGATAAGAGTAATGTTGTGTATGCAGTCCAGCACAGTGGACTATTCAGAATTCTACATTAGAGAAACCAAGCCAGCACAGGGAAAGAAACACCACAAGACCAGAATCGGCAGTACACCTTCAGAAGAAAAAGGAACTATTTGAGGACAATAATGTTCACATTTTGGATAGGGAAGATAGATGGTTTGAGAGAGGAGTGAAGAAGTCCATTTATGCCAATATGGAAAATCTTTCCCTCAGTAGAGATGGAGGCCACAGACACAAACTGTTCCCCACTCTTTCTTATGCTGCTTTTCCATCATTCCCCAGGAAGATTGAGACCACTTCACAGGCTCACCAGGGAGGCTACTCTTAATGACCCAATTAGGGTAGAG